TGGTTGCTCGACGCTGACTTGCTCCACAATCTCGTTCACCGTCTCGATGAGCTTACGCGACGATTGCGATACGGTGTTCGTCTGCGTTACGTCGCTTGACGCTGCGCTGAAGTACGACAGTAACGTCACGGATTCCTCCCTGGCTGTTTCGAGTTGATCAACCGTCTGACGACGTGCTTCCATGTCCTAAATAGCACTTAATCAATTTAATGTCTTAAATCGGCTTCAAGTGAGCGGAGCAGCAGCCTTACCGGAAGGTTCTTGATGGACGCAATAACGGCTGTGTGGAAGTCGGTGTATGTTGAGACGAAAGCGTTCACAGCTTCTTGATTATTCGGCTGCCTTACAGAGACTATCAACTGCGACGTCGCGTCGACCAATCGCGAAGCCGCGACGCGAACGTCTGGTTCACGAACTGTCGACGATACGCCAATTGTACGAATCTGCGTGATCGCTTTCTCGATGGCTTGGTTGTCAGGAAGACATGCGATCACCTGACGCAGACTCACCGATACCTGAAATTTGTTCAATTAAAAAAGGAGGCGGAGTTTGCAGCTTTTAAATGGGACAGCATATGTGAAGGACATACCTGCTTAGCCGCATCGGCAAGCACATTTGGTGGTGCTTGTTCTCGTACATGATCGAATACTCTTCCAGAATCATGAACGACTGAACGTGACGAGACAATGAACCTGAAAAATTGAAGAGAATTAAAGGCATATTCCACACAGAAGATTGTGAACATTCCCTCAGGTCTGTAGGATAGACCCCTAGAAAACAATCACAGATGTGGCACTCCCGTGCACGGAAATCACCCGACAAGGGCGCTAGGCCTTGCAAAGTAAGCTGCAGCAGCTGCAATGTTCCCCGTCCGCAGCAGGCTGTTGTCTGGCGCCCTCTCATCTGTGCGCTCTCTCGCCTCGCACTCTCCTCTCCGCGCTCAGTCTCTCATTGCCTTAGCACACCAAATCACGAAGGTGAGCAAGCCCTTAACCTAAGCGTTTTTGACAGATTCTTTCCCTTTTTTCTCAACTTTTTCTTCCCATTCCGTACCAATGCCTCCATATACTTGTGCAGGACACACCAGTTTGGTCCTCGGGCGTGCATTCAAGGTCAAAAGCCTTTTAAAAAGAAAGTTCAAAAAGAGTTATATAACGACATACGTATCAAGATGGATATCAGTCCTTGTTGACACGACCTCCGTTACCGCGCCAGTGAATGCTCGGAGGCTCTGAGCTGCTTCTACCGCCGACGCACCGATGTGTTGCTCGTCCTTGGTTGTGGCAGCCGACACCAACTGGGCGATACTGCTACCAACCTACAAATTTTCGGATTTTCCAGCTATAATGGAGCAGAAGGGGTCAAAATCATGTCCTCCCAGTGCGGTAATTTTTTACCTGTCTCGCTGACGACATCAGATGCGAGGTGGCAGATTGAGAAGTTGCTCCTCGCGGTGGAGATAGTTGTTTCATAAGTGCCGCCTTCTGTACGTCTTGGATTTCCTGGTCGAGTTCCTGAAAAGCTCAGCTGATTATTTTCAACTACTGAACAGTAAGCTGGTGTCAGAGTCCGCGATCCGTCGCGCAACTCTCGCGATTCGCGTGACTGATCGCGGACTATGAAACCAACCTAAATACGAAAATGATGACGCTAAAGGCTAACCCGGATGAGTTCCTCGCTGTGGTACAACTGTTGACTGAAGTTCAGCTGTTGAGCGGAATTCAAGGCAGTGCGCAGCTCGGCGAGGTTGGTCGACAGGCCGTTGCTGGCCTGCTGGAGATTCGAAGCGATGTGGTTCTCGCTCACATGAGCCACTGATGTACGCGCCACTTCCACAAGACGAGTTGCTGGTGCCAAAATCTGGAAAAAAGGAGAAGCTGAGAAATCATGCGTGATTTACGGGACAATCCCGAGGATTTGATGGCCCGCAACCAACCTGATGTGCATCGCGTATGAGACGACTTTGAGCGCGGAACTTTTCACTGGCCGTTTGTGCCTGCTGACTTTCTCGGATCGAAGTGATCAGCCTGAAGTGAAAAAAAAATAAGAGCCAATAAAAGTGCTGCCCGTAAAAGGTTACCGTATCAAACTTACTTCGGAATATACTCGGCCGTCTCGGTGCACTCATAGACGAGATTCTCCACGGTAGTCTGGTCTTGACCTCACCATTCCTAATCCGATAACATCAATAAATTACCAAATAATAGGCAGCTTTGAGGTTATTGAATCGCACAATGCCATGCCAATTAGTAAGGCTAACTCTTTCGTTCTTTAGAGAGGAGTGACAGCTAGGCTAACCCGAAAAGGCAGCATCCCGCCGCACACCACGCCTACTGTCTCGCTCCCCGCCTTTCTCGCGGGTGATCTCACTCAATCGATCTGCATAGAATGGTGTATGTGTGACAAAAACTGCTTTGGGTCCATATAGTTTTATTCTAGTCCCAAATTTACATGTACACAAATCGGAGAAGAATAATAATGATGGTAATCATGAAAGCATAGAATCGTTCGCGAACACGTTCGCCTTTAGACGGCTTATTCCAACAGAAATAAACGTGATCTATTTAATTAATAGCGGTTCTCATGACTAAATAGCGAAAAGCACGCGAAAAAATCACGGCAGTGAAGGAAAGGGGGCGGAGTTTGTGCAATGTGCTCGAGTGACTGTGATTGGCAGGGCAATTTGTGGGCGTGGTTTAACACAAATGGATGTGTGATGTGGTTTTCTTTGTGTGATATGTGCGTGCACATCGATTGAATTCTGGTTGGCGATTAACGGATACGTAGTATGGTGTGCGTGTCATCAACTAGAAGCTGCTCCGTGACCTCCGTTCGTTTGCGCGTCTCCTGAACGAAGCAGGCTACTACCCGGTTCAGTGCAGGTTCATCGTGCACACATGCAAACAGAACGCACTTGACGTGTCTCAAAAGTCGTGCACCGAAACAACGTTGGAAAGGGGGGGCAGAAGTACGATGCACGACTTTTGGGACACGAAGTGCATTCTCTCAGCAACGTGAAACAGTAACAACAAAATGCGATTTGAAAACTACGCCGCCACAACTCTTTGAGCGACAGGTTCTTTCTTGCACGGCCAACCTAGCGCATGGAAAAGCCCAATTCGCACTGACATGTAAGCGGCTCGTCGCGCTAAGGCCGATGTCAGACTTTGCAAAACGAGCGATTTGCTAGCGTCCACAGTCGCGTCGCAGCCAGCGAACCGCATCGCGACCGCCGACGCTAGCGAATCGCTAGTGGCGAATCACTCAACTTGCAAAGTCTGAGATCGGCCTAACTGACACCCACGCCGTTGATTCTCTGAGAGCTTATTATTTATTAAGTGCCTCGAACTCTGGGGGTCGCGACGTACGGCGGTCCCCATTTTTCACGGCAAGGAGCTTTGAGTTTTGAAAAAGGCGACATAGTTTCCAAAACGCGAAACAAGCTGAATCCCACCTAAATCTCACGAAACTCACCTTTTTAAAAATATTACAACGTAATACGGTAACCACAACTACGCCACTGTAGCGCCTACTCGAACATGCAGACGTGTTCATATACTGCAGTTCATTCTACGAATAGCAAGGGAAGAAGCATCACTAGCGCTTCAACAGAATGTCTACAGGCTGAGTGCTCTAGCAAGGCATGCCACAAAAAGTATAAATGGTTCACCTTGGGCGTTGGCGGCTGCAATCGTCTGCGTGCGTCGTATGCCGTTTGACGAGCGGCCTGCTCCAGCTTCTCCATAATGTGTTTTGCCTGCTGCTCACTGGTCGTCTCATTTGTCACAGTGACCAGTCGTTCGGCGGCGTTACGTAAGGCCATTTCTGATTCGGCTTCTGTTGGTCGTGACTCGCATTCCTAATATAATAAAGATTTTTAGAGGAATTTCATATGTACATAGTTTGGAGGGGTATGAAAGTGAACTGCCCTAGGCAGTCTTATGATTAGACAACCTCGAAGTAATTGATTCTATGTGACTTGGACCGAAGATACTTGTGTCAAAAACTCCCGAGTATTTGCTGCAGCTTTTCATCAGACTTTCTGGCTTTCACAAACAAAGAAAAACCGCACTAATCTACGGACGAAGTTAGATTGATTCGCACGTGTCTTCAATGTGAACATAAAGAAGGCAGAATTCCAGGCCGTAACGTAATCGGCCCCAAGGGCCCTGGTACTTTGAATCAATGGTCCTAGATTCGAGTTTAACAATCGGTTCAGGGCTAACCCCAAGTCCGTCTCCTGATGCAACTTATTGGATCTTATCGTTAGTACAACGAATGCAAGCTGCTATCGGAGCGAGATAAGAAGAGATTAGTGAGTAGCTACTCTTCGCGCTTTCCAATCCCTTGGAATCCTCTGGCCTCTTTCCCGTTGCCCATGCTGCACAACCGTAACCCCTGGAGGATTAGCTCGGTGATATGTATTGGTTTGAATGAAGGAAGGCATGGAGTGGTAAGGTTAGTAGGAGAAGTGAGTGAGCCTCTTCTAGAAAACCGTGTCCATCTGATCAAAAACTAACCCTTGTGGCATTGATCATGTCACTGGTGGCGGTTGCGACACGTCGACAGCAGCCATAGACGATGCCTTTTGCTCCAGCGATGGCTCATGCGCTTCATGTTCAAACTGCTCCATAAGAATTTGACTGTGTCGAATGACCTTCTTTGCTTCACGTGTAAGATCTTCACTGGGACCCTGAAACACGATTCTATGACTCGACAGTATCTTCGTATAAAGTCGCGAATTTCTCGTCTTGGAGGGAGGGAGGGTTTTCAGACACGACAGGTGGTGGTGAAAACATAGCAATGGGCAGAACCCTCACCAACAGCTTCAACTTTCACCAATTTCGTTAAGCTTTTCCATAGAAACCAGTAAGATTACACCTCTAGAGATTTCTGCACACAGCGGAATTCGGGCGAGGCTATTTTATTCGGAGTAACCCCTGGAAAGATACTGAAAGGTGGCAGGACGGAATTTCTAAAGGTATGATTCCTAGAAACTCAGTACTGGTTCTCTACCTGCATAACTGTCCCCGTACCAGTACTCACCCCAAGCTCCCTTTCTATTTAAAACGAGAAAATTAGCAGCACCGTAACACTCAATCCTAAAAGAGCCAACCTGGTGTGCGATCAATCTGTGAGTCGTTCTCAACACTTCATTATACTGCTCTTCCTCTGTGGTTCTCGTGATCTTTGGTGAAGTCTTCACATGTTCCAATAAGCTGTCCAGCATGCGTAACGCTTTCACAAAACGAATTTAGGTAACACAAATGGTGAACCTTAATCCGATCCTTCACCTGTCTGGCAGCTTCATGGATGTCCGTAAGCGATTGTCGACCGCCAGTATGGCTTCGTTCACAAGCATATTCAGCATCATGCAGCAATTCCGTTACCGCATGCGATACCTGAACGAGTTTAGAGTAAATAAAAATATAACAAATCGTTTTTCAACACTGATCATTCCCTTTTCTGAGATACGCTAGCAAACTGCGTGTTGGGGTCAGTCAATTGTACAGATCAGCTGCTTTCTGCTCTCTAGGCCGATGTCAGACTTTGCGAATCGCGCGATTCGCTAGCGTCCGCGGTCGCGTTGCGGTACCAGCCAATTGAGTGATTCACTGGCCGCGACGCGACCGCAGACGCTAGCGAATCGCGCGATTCGCAAAGTCTGACATCGGCCTCCAAGGCAAGTCTCTTACTGAACAAACGACCCTGGACGAATGGATGATTAGGCTGGTCTGGGAGAGATTCGATTTGTGGGATCTTCTTCCAGCCATGCATGCAGGCGTCAATTGGCAGCGCTTCTATCCTTGGCGCCACATAAATGAACTAACACCCCACGAAATGTATTTACAAAGCTCATAAGTCATCCCCAATGGTGCTGTTTTGGCGTGTGTGACTCGCTTCGGCGCAGAAGCGATTGTTGTTATTTGCTAACCTTCCACCACCACAATCCCCAGCCATGCATGCATCCATGAATCTTCCAGTTCGGAAATGGAATCGTGTTTTCAAACAGGATATGCTTTTTCTGGTTATCATTGAAAGCTCTTTCCCCATATAAAGGTTGTTCCACATAAAGCAATCCACCATTAAATCTCAAGATGGCTGGGGTTTGAGCTGTGAAAAGTCGCGCAATTGCTACCTATTGACTCCTGGAATAAATTCTGCCTACGTAGAGCAAGCCCCCATCCCTTCCGAGTTCACTAACAGCTATCTGGCCCTTCCAAAAAGATAAAATTACTTCTACGTACGGTCTGACCCCATATGTTCACTCTATAAGCCAAAGTGCGTCCGAGTGCTCCAACAGTTTCGAGCTTCAAAAGAATGCATGGCGCACCCCAGGGCCCTCGAATCTACCTTGTAATCAAGCGTATTGCAACCGTGCGTTTTATGCTTCATCTTTTACCTTCAAAGGACAAGCGATTGGTGCTCGAGCTGCCAAGAAAAGCTTATCTCACCTGCTTAGCGGCACTTGTAAGTTGCTCTTGACACGCGTTGCTTTCGATCGTTGGCGCGACAACTCGGGCGCACGCGACGAGTTGCGACGTCGCGAATGCGCACTGCGTCGCTGAGTGGATGACTTTCTCCTGTAGAACCGGCTCCTCGCAGTCTGCAGAGATGGTTTTTGCTCTGAAAAGATTTTTATTAGATACTGATTGCTAATATCACTAGTAATGGCATCTTTGCTGAGAATCCTTCCTTATCAGCCGAAACCTTTTCTTGCTCCGCGAAAACCCATAAAAGAACAACAAGTAGAGCAATAAAATTTCATCAGCAGAAGATTCATGTCTCTCTTGCCTATTCAGCTCCATTGCCCATTTGAGAGTTATAGGGTCAGACAGGCAAAAGGCAAAAACACGCCAGCAACGTTGCCCTTACTGTGACCTGCACTGATGCGCCAAAAACTGGAGGCACTCCTTGATGCACCAACAAACACCACTTCTCCTTTCATCTACTATGTGCCGAACAAAAATGTCTTCGTGAGTAGGCTTCCCTTTAACCGAACTTAAAGTCACATCACAACAAGACGAGATGGGCTAGAAAGCTTCTGAATAAGTCACCCAAGTCTACGGGCATCTCCTCTCCACTACTCGATCGGTACCATGCGATACCGTTCTGACAAGAAGGGCGAGTGATGACTGTAGAATTTTATTGGTATATCGAATTCTGTAACTAAAATTTTTTGTATATCGTCACCAAACCGTAACCTATTTAGAAGGTCGGTACCTTCATTGAGAATCTAGGTATTTCAAGATTTTATTTTCCTTGGTTCAACCTTCACGAACACATCTTCGTATGATGTTACACAAATAACAGAATCCGGTTCTGCATTCTCCTCACCTTCCAGACCCGCTATTATGAAAAAACGCAGCAATGCAAAAAAAGGGACACAAACGAGAAAAGATGCGCAGGATAAGCCACGAGGGGCCGAGCGGAACATATCGCTGGCTAACACTGTTTACCACGCATACCGCGTTTACCGCCTTGTCCCCTGATCCACTACCAGAACAAGTGTCGCGAACCTTGCTGTTATCCCACGATCTTAAGCCATTTAATATACCATGACAAGTTGTTCAACGGTTCCTGGAGTGAAAAGCAATCCCTCAAGCTGAAGAAGGGCGTTTGCACTTCGTGGAACTTCTCTGCGCTTGTGCCGGCGACAAATGGGCTTCTGCTCGCCAGAAGTCATTCAATCAACCAGAGATGGTATCACGGACCTGCCACCGGCTAAACAAATTGAGAATTCAACAGGCGCATAGCACTTGAGCGCTCATCCGAAACAAACCCAATTTAGCCAGTTTTGGAGAGCGGTACCTCGTACGAGATTCTGACTACAATTTCTAAAAAATGTGGGAAAAGATAAAGTTTTCCTCTCTTTCAAAGGATATCGGGGCAGCAAGCATGGCTTTTTTTTACGAATCCGTATAACGTGCAGGATAGGGAAGTATTCATGATTGTGTCATCGAGTCAATTACTCCTCCTCAGTCTATCGGATCTTACTTTGCTTGGGCAGCTAGATATTATACCAATTTAATTCTTCCTGAGGAAAAGTGTCCACCACTGAGCGCCTATACTAGCCATATTCTCTTCTGAAAACACCTTCAAACCAAGAAAGTGAGAACATAACCCAACAGGTCATTGGCACAACAACACAAGTTTTCGAGGCAATTTGCCCAATCCTTTTGTGTGCCCAGCTGCTCGACATACCTTCGAAGTGCTTGTGAATAATAACCGTAGAAAACCGCAGCGGTTGATCGATGTCCAATAGTTGCTTGTACTACATGAAAACATGAACATCAACGACCTATCCAATAACGAATGAAGGAATAAGAAGGTTAACTGGCCGCCGACAGTACCTAATTTAGAGGGGAGTGGGAGGGCAATAAGTAAAACATTTTGTCTGCTCAGAGCGTGGCCCAACTATCATTGAAGGCGCGCATTTCATTTCATAAGGCGAATCTTCAATAAGGTCCTCTACGCTGACGCGACTGTCTTCAGTCCATCAGAAATAGTTTTCCCTGAAAACATGGTAAAAAAACTCCCTGGTCGAGCTCAACGGTCTCGCCTCATCTGAGTACCGTATTACGTTCCGAAGGCGGTTCCGAAGGGGTTGCATAGACTAAATTCTAAAAACTATCCCACGTTGAATCGATCCAAGAAATTATGTAAGAGCTTCAGGCTGAAGCAGTTACTGTAGGTCTCCTCCCTGAGCTCGACGACGGTGACAGATGACGTCATATTCTGAAGACGGTGAAGGTAGTGAAGGAGGGCCTGCGTTACTTATAGAAGGGAATTAGGGAATATTTGTCTGAGATTCCGTCAACGATTGCAAATCTTTGCGAAGAAAAAAACCAGGCCCAAAGAAAAAAAAAAAATAATATGTGCAACCTGACAAAATGTCTCTTTTTTGCTCCCCCCTGTAATGAAACGTGTAGGAAAAGTGGAGCTCGGGCTAATGCGCTGTATCCTTTTTTGAAGAATCCTACGAACTAAGCAAATTGTTCAACGAAATGAGGGGCAGCGTGTCCTCGAACCTAATGACTGTTGAACAACCCAGTTACGGTTAAAAAGAGGCATTACTTTGATCGATATTATGGTACTACACTGGACCTGAAAACATTTTTCCCTTTTTTCGCCGTGGGTACTACCTTCCTACCCAATTAATCCAAGAAATAGCCTATAATCCGATTCGATAATGAAAGTACTTTTTTGCAAATGTGATGATAAGGCGCTTGATATAGCTCCCATGGGTCTAATCTGGTTCACAGATAAGAGCGTAGCTGATTTCAATGTGTCGTTGATCGATTTCTAATCGCGGAAAACAATCCCCATATTTATGATTGATCGATGGCGATTCCAGAAACTGTCTATATAACCGAATGACACAGTCACGACTGATACAGTGGCGGGGAAAACCTTCTGAGTGCCCATTTTAGATACTCTTACTGCTACAAACTAGTACTGATCCAAGAGAAGAAGTTGTCTTCCACCAAGACAACTTGTCACATTATTGAACAATAGGCTCCAAAGAACAAGAGTGATGGACGTTTTGGGAGTCTCAGCGAATCAACGATCGAGAACTGTCAATTTCTAGCGGGATAAAAGCGGTTGCAGCAAAAACAACAACAAAACAGCACAACCAACCTGCGTAAAGGTGTTGGCGAACCATAGTAATTATAGATATAAATTTCTTTGTAGACCTTTCGACGCATCGTTGACGAACGATTTCACAATGATGAATAAATTGCGAATTCGCCTTCTGTTCGATGACAGAAGAAAAAAAACGATGACGTCGATGATAGCTATCCGACGACCAGCGTTGACAGATCAACGACGCTCAGAGATGGAGCAGGGTCGTGGCCGTCGTTGTAGAGCGAAACGAGTTTCCACGTCCAAGCCGATTGCACACGAGATCCGCACCGTCGCAGCTGTACGTGATCAGCAATCACAAACTAACTGTTACGTAAGCCGGCGCGACGGAAGCCTTACAACGGTTCTCTGTCTGATGGCGGCGGTGCGATGCGTGCGCGACGTGAAGAAGACGGTGCGGTGCGATGGCGAGAAAACCGGGTCTTTTCGGGCATGCGTTAGCTGACGGGAAAAACTGCATAGAGATATCTTAGGATTGTAATTCGATCGACAGCGCTCGGTGGGTGTGGCTCTAGCCGATGGACAACAATATTTGATATTTCAAGAAAAAAAAGCAGAACATGACAAGCAGGATTTGCATCAGGTGAGATGACATCCACAAGATTGACCTTGTCACTTGTAGACACTTAAAGCAGGGAGCTTATCTGTTGATGTGGTGAAAGTCGTCAAGAGCCGGGAACTCTCCGAAAAAGAACGACGCAGGAGGCTTAGGGGAGTTGTAAAAGTGCAAAAACTGACAAAACCCTTCTATTATAAGAACTCTTTGAGAAGAACGAGAACTTTCCAGCGATTGGAAGACAAAAAAGGTCATGTTGAGCCTCGACCCTTCACCCGCCACACTCCGGCCCGTTGAACTATTTCACCGTCATGACACCAACCAACTACGGGTTAGTCAGGGGTAGCCACCTCATAACTGCACTCTCCAATACCCGACGAGATAGAGGCCTGAGGGAAATTGGGCGCCGAAGGCCACTTTTGCAGCTACCCTTATTGGTTAGGCACCACAGTAACCTTTCCCTTTATTGAGCGGCTTCTTACCAAAGTATCCATCCTACTTCAGCCGAAGGAGGACGACTACAACGTAAGAGAAGCAACGTGCGGATAGCTCAATGAAAGAGACTTTCTAGAATGCCGCCGTATAAACTGGATCCGTCCGATCCACGTCGAAGCGCCAAGTGATTACTCCTGCTGATTACGTCTTGAATAAGTCCCCCGGCTAGCGCAGCGACTTGGCCAGCGAACACTTAGGCATGGGACAATGGCTCAACAAGAAGTGCGGATCGTCTCAGCGGGTATTGTTGGATTCGTTTGTGCTGGTATCCAATTAGCCGACCCCGAATAACCGAGATTTTGTACGTTCAGGGTAGGAACGCAGATCCGTAAGAGGGAGCACGTAGAACCATGATGTGGTCGAGAGCGCGCCACCTCTTCGTGACACCATCCCCGTGGCTTTTTACCACATTTATAGTTTATTTACACATTTATATTTACAATATTTAGATATGCAAAAATATTACAATATTTTACATATGCTACATTTACACGTGCAAAAAGTGCCGACCACCTTCCTGCGGCCCTGAATGAATCACGGTCCCACCGGGTCAAAAAGCAGTATCTTTAATCGTCTCAACGGCCCTGGTACCTATTGACCGATCCGGTAGGACGGAAAGTTTGGTAGGCCTGGGCGGGAATCGATTCGTAAGCTTACGCGAAGACCATGTTGTGGCACTTTCTGAGGACAAGCGTTCAATCCACTAAAGCACCCAATAAGAGGCATGTCTCGCATTAGCAGACACGATTCTAAAAGGCTCGTGTCGGAAACATTCGTAATACACCCATAATCGTCACTTAACGAACAGCCGTAACCTCCAGATAAGCTACCACTCAGTCGATAACATGAAGAAAGGTTGATGTTCTTTGATGTGAACGTTTGAAACCCTTCCAAACAGCGATACATGTAAGAGAAGACGGAACTCACCATGATTGTAGAGTAGGGAGAGTGAGCGTGGACGTGTGCCGAAGTCGAGGGAGGGCCAAACTGCCGCCGCTTCCAGCAGCCTCCACAGCAATCACCCTATCGGATCTAGAGCCCTCCCGCGGGGCAACTGCCACCATCTAGCGCGAAAGATACATGGATGGCGAGCGGCAAGTGTGGGTTTGAAGCTCTACGCAATCGCATGCTCTCTCCAAGCACATCTAACCAATCGGCTCTGGTCCCATGGGTGTGGTGTCAAGAGTCGCACACATTTGCATAGCATCCATCATTGGCAGCAGGCCAAACCGACGCAACGACAAATAGCCCCCAGTGGGCATATGCGATGCTGCCGTTACAGACACCACAATTCAACTTCATCCAATGTCGACGGGCTCCGAAAAGCTTTCGAGCCATTACTTTGAAAAGCATAGGCTACAGCTTGATCTCCTAAGGAGGTCAACGGGTGAATGCAAATTGAATGAGGAAACTATTTGATACCATTATTCAGACCACCAGGAAGCCCGACACTTGACAATTGCACGGTAAATACAATGTTAACAAGTACCGACTTCGCATAGTAAACAAGTGGGACAAGCTCGGACGAAGTACAGAGCGGAGGCAACACTGCACGACTGCAGGGGAATTTCCCTGTCAAATCCTCTTCTGCTCTGGAACCAGAGTTCATGGCTTGATCAGAGTCGTAATTAGGCCACCGCTATTGCAAGATACGAGGCATCCCTAAGCTTGGGAGGGGGCAGGAACTTGGGGAAAAATGAAGATTGGTCACTCTCCTTGGAGTTTCTCCATCTCGCCTAAGCCTTAGTCTCGATAATTAACAAAAAGGTGTTTTAAGCAGCTCCAAATGCATGTCCCCTTACCTTGCGATAGTGCCATTAGACCACATACGCCGTATTGGTCGAGTCAGTCATTTCTCTGTATCTTTATTTTGCGTTAAGCTTTCGGTTGTAAAAAACCGAATTTTATTTCTTTGTAGGACCTTGTTTATTTGAGAAGAAACAGAAATGAGGTCTTGATTGGAATTACCTGGCCAACGTGCAAGTATT